TAATGGTATGAAGCTGCATCAGGGGAAGTTCAGGTTGGACATTAGGAAAAGGGTCTTCACTGAGAGGGTGGTCAGTCACTGGAACGGGCTCCCCAAGGAAGTGGTCATGGCACCAAGCCTGTCAGAGTTCAAGGAGTATCTAGGCGATGCTCTTAGTTGTATGGTTTAGTTTTAGGTTGTCCTGCAAGGAGCAGGGAGTTGGACTCGATTCTTATGCGTCCCTTCCAACTTGAGATATTCTATGACTTATATGCTGTGCATTTCACATAGATTTTCATTTAGTTTTCTGGAAAAATATTATGACATATATCAGATAAATGCTGGTCATGATTCCTTCTGGCATTGGCTAACGAGACATCTGGGTTTTGTAATGAGTACTATCAAACATTATGTGCTGGGGCTTTGGGCAGTTGCCCACAGGGGGACTAGAACATTCTTTCCCTGCTCACGCTTTCTTGAAGCAGCACTTCTCAACATGTAAGGAGCTCAGGATTCAACTGAAGCATGAATGAACAGGGAGACAGGCAGAAATGCTAACTGGTTGCAAGTGAAATGCAGTCTAAATTGTTCTAAAAGGAAAGTTACTTTTTTTGATTGCTCTGAAGCACACAGAATGGCCTCCAGAGAGGAAAAACAAGTGGTGCTTTTGTTAGATGCCTGTCTCGTTTGAAATGCTGATCACTGCAAGTGGAATCAAGAAGGAATTTTCTTTTTCATCAGACTGGCAGGAATCTTAGGATTTTTTTTCTTGTTTTCTGTGTTAAATTCCATGTTTCTTTCTAGAATTTTCTGACATGACATGACCTATTTCCTTACTGTTATAGCACAATGCTGGTTTATTTTTAATGTGAATCATGCCACAACCTCACTTATTCCATGGCTCCACAAACAGCTGTATGGAAATGAGAAGGAAAGACAGGGGTATAAATGGTAGAAGTGCATCTTCAGTCTCCATCTTTGGGCACCCAGTTTAGCCTCCTTGGGCCTAAAGTTGCTGTAGCGTAGTGTCTTTAAAAGTGTCTGCATGAAATATAATGGCCTGCAATATACAGGGAATAGATCTGTTTGTTTAAATGATCTAATTGTTCTTTCCAGATATAAACCTCGTGAGACTCCATAGAGGTGATGGTTAATCTGGACCTTACCTTCTGCCTTAGGCTGTAAGTTTCTTTGTTGGGAAGGACAGTTTAAGGAGTTTCCTCCTCACTCTCTTTTGTGCATTATTGCCCTCTTGCTGCGACCATACAACTTCTTTGTTGGCTTACACTGGTTTGTTGGTTGTAGGGGGCAGGAGGCATTAAAAGAGTAGGAGGATGTTCTCAGTCTGGGCAATGTGGAGGTGCGGCATGAGTAGTTGTCCCTGAGAAAGGACGGTAGTTCATATACTACTCCTAGCCCAAGAAGTCGTAGCTGCTAGTTGCTCTGTGTTGCCAAGAAGTCTCCCAAAGAAAACTGATTGAAGAGAGAGGCAAGATGTGTGATCCCAGTTAGTCTTTTCCACGCTTACCCAGAGCGCTAAGACGTACTGGGTTGGAGTGGATGCAGGGTGAGTTGGGAAAGGAAGAGGGAAACCTTGAAGGAAGGGGGAACAAATTCCAGTTTTAGAACTGCTGCCCAGAGGGTAGAGGTACAGGGGAGTGTTCAGGGTTGTGTGTATCTGTGACCATGGGGCTGATTACAGAATTCTCTTTTCTGCCTCAGAATTGTGCTTCAGAAGCTCAGGTTTAATTTATGAAAGTTTCTAATCTTGCATTTGCAGAGCAGCTTTCCTCAATATATCAACGAAGCATAAATGGATGCATTTCCCTATAGGTTTAAATTGTATGTCTCAGATATGTGGATCTAAGCAATTGTGTAATCTGCCTTTCTGGATCTTGTGAACTCAGTGTTCAGTTGCAAAGAAACACCGAATTTTTGCATCCTTTCTATCCCTTGGCTGACGGATCTGACCACAAGAGGGAGTGAACTGGATTTAGTGCATGCTCTCTGTGGTTTGTGGGATGATGGAGGATAGAATGGCTGCCTTGAAAACACAGTCATTGTGGGAGAGGAGAAAAATAGCTTGACAAAGGAGATCAGTTTGCAAATGAGCAGTATGTCAGACTTGGTGGCTTGGGAAAGTAAGTTACTCAGGCTACCTGCAAGATCTGCCCATTGTATATAGGGAGAAGGTGGTTAAGCTGATTTTCTTGGGTAGCATCATGGGCCAGAGAAAAGTTGAGAGCATAATGAAAATCCTCAGAAATAAGGGTTGAACAGAGGATTGATTATAAGATGCAGCCAGGTGCAATACCTGAATTGGTTTTAATTATCTTAATATAAAAATAGCACAGAAACTAGTCTTAAGATGGCATGTGTCATACAAAGGCACATCTTTCACTGGTGGAGATTGCAAAGTTTGTCTGAAGTTGATGGTTCCAAACTACTCTAAGTTTCTGCCCTGATAATTATGCCTTGTAACCCTTGGGTTCAGGATGGAGTGGGGAAAATGATTAAGCGTCTGTCTTTAGTTTTCACACTAATATTTTGTGATGAATTTTAAAGGTGTGAATCCAAAGTAGACCTTAGTTTCCCTCTCCTTAATTTTCAATAAGCATCACTCTGAAGACCTCAGAGCTATTGTTTTGAGGGTTAGACAAACAGAGGAGAGTCAGTCACTGTGTGTACTTGTGGTGTGCATATGGTGGTATTTATGTGCATTTACTGTTAGGATTCAGCTGGATGGCCTATATAGCATATAAACAGCTATGCTGGTAATTAATAAAAATCAAGTATTTGTATTAATGTATAGAAGTGAAGAGGTGTGGAATAATAGTTTCAGTAGAAGGAAGGCTTGCAATATTTTCTTCCTTCTTTACTTTTTGTTCTTTTTCTTGTGGGTTTCCCCAGCATGCAGTTTGCTAATGAATTAGTATTTTGCCTATATCCAAATAAGTATTAAATAAAAATTCAGATAGTTCCATTTAAGGCTAAGTCTTGGGAAGAGGCAAAATAAAATTTCCTCAGTTATCTTGGGAAACATAAAGCTGAATACATTATCTGATCAGAATAAATCTTGCATGGTATAGGAAAACTGTAAGAAATATGTCTGCCACCTTGAAAAGAACTTTTGTTGCTGACTTTGTGTAAATAACCTCTAGGTAGTAACCAGTTAGTCTCCTTGCCTCTTGTCCTACTTCTCATCTCATAATGCTGCTAGTATTATTTGTAAATGGATTGCTGTAGCTTTAAAATACATTAATATTATCACAGTTAAATATAGCTTGTTTACACCTCCAAGGTAGTAATCTGCTTAGGGTTCTGTTTTTCTTCATATAGTGTCTTTAACAATGCTAAGCTGGGGCTGGTACTTAGTAAGTAATATGACATCAGATGACAACTTCCTCAGTGTAAATGATGTCTGAATAACAAACACTGCAAGATCTAAACCAGCTTGTTTTGTCAGTCTGACCTTGAGTTCTCACTTGAAAATATTTGACGGTTCTGCTATTTTTTTTTTTTAAATATACCTATTGGAGATATTTTTGTAACTGAAATATTTTCTAGCTTTCCATTGAACTACCTCTCATCATGCATAGCAACCTCATTAGCACCAGCCAAAAACCTGGATTGTGCTGGGCCTGACTCTCATTTACATTAAGATGCTTATGTGTCTTTCTGGCTTGATAAAGAACTTTTATACAGTATGTAAATTACATGTAGGTTCACTTAAAACTTAGCATGAATATATATAGTGATTTGCACAAGCTTTAAGCATGTCACACACTGACAGAACTCAAAGTAAATGAGTTCTTCATATAAACAAGAATCAATCCCCTTCTCTCCTCTCCTGTTCCTAATATATCCATTATGTTGGCGATAATTTGTGGGTTTGCCTGAAGAAATGTATACATGTTGTTTTCATTTCCCTCAAAAACAGTTTAACTGCAAAATATGCAGATGACTGTCTTTCCTTTTGTTTGCCATCCTCATGCCACTGCATTTGAGACATATAAACGATGCTGTGAGATAAAACTAAATTGTGTGGGCAGAAGAAAAAAGGATCTGAAAAAAGCTTTACTTCCCTGTGGAGCAGTGAGAGACTGACCTCATGTGGTCTGAAACCAAAGTTGCCAGGGGAAATGCAAGGATAAAACTCTGAATAAACTGAGCTTTTTTGAATAAACTGAAAAATTAATTTTTCTCATGCATTTCTGATTTTTGTTGGATGCTGTACGACTTATATTTAAATAATATTAGTTTGGATAGTTTGTAATGTGATTGCTGATATGAAGTTGACCAGTGTCTGTATTCCCAAAGACTTTTTTGTGTCCTGAAAGGGATGCTCTAACAAGCTGACCCCAAGACAGCAGGCTGGGAGCTGGGGCCCAATTATCCTAGCTGCTGCCTGTGTGTGATTTTAATTGAAATGAGTAGGAGTTTCATGTGAGCAAGTGACAGGATAATCAGTCTTGGTTTCTAAGCCCTTTCTGGCACTTCCCCAGCAGCACGCTCTCTCTGTGCCTTCACAGCCTTGGTCTGTAAAATGAAGACAGTGGTTAGGAAAGTTATGAAGTGGTACTGTGTAGAATGGGAAGGTTGTTCCTAGCACGTATATTTTTTTACAAGCATGAATAATATTAATACTGGAGACTTCTGAGTCAGTTCTGTTGCCCTGGGTTCATTAGTATATATGGAAGCATCCAGGTATATGGAAAACAAAAGGAGGTTCTGTTATTTTGAAAATTCTCCTTTCTAAATGAATAACATGCATTTAGTTTAAAGGATTTAGGGGGTAATGTGGCTTACGGACTCTCACAGGAAAATGTGCTTAAAAATCCTTTGGGCAATTCAGGTGACCTTTAAAAACTCTGTCCCCATCCTGCAAAGACTTCTCTATACGCTTAATTGTACTTTTTCTGATCTTTGTTGACTTAAGTCTCTGAAATAACAAAGGCCTGTAGTATTTTCTACAAGTACTCTGAGTTCTACATGACAAACCTTCCATTTTCTTATTACAGATCCTCTTGGAACCAGGGGTGATACAGGATGTCCTAGCAGCTGGGAGCCATTTGCAGCTGCTGGAGCTTCTCAGTTTATGTTCTCACTATCTCATTCAGGTGAGGCTTCTCTGTCTGATTATCAGCCATTTCTGTTTGGTAAACTTGTGTTTCAAGCCTAATTTCAGTAGGAGAGTATTAGTACAATACCTGATGTAATCTAAATGGCAATAAGCTGGATTTCAGGAGACATGAATTTTGAGTGTAACTTGGGTATCAGTTTGTAGTAGGTGCTTTCTCCTCCCATCCAGTTTGTCCATTTCAGTCCTGAAAACACAGATGGTCCACTGATTGGTATCAGCACATGGGAGTTTGATTCCCTCTTTTACCAGAGAATTTGCTTTCTTCTGCCTCAGTTTACCAAATGTTAGACACTTCCCTATTGCGATCATGAGTATTGTGAAGCATTCAGATGCGTAAGTGTTCACAACAGAATATTGATGCATATTCCAGGGCACTACTACCTCTCACTGAAGGGGTAGGGCTTATTACAATGGCACCTTATTCTCAACTGGCATTGTGCCCATAATGCTGATAATATTATCAATATTAGGGCTGTCATTATGAAGCAAAAAATCTGATTCCAGTAAAGTAATTTTTTGTGCTTGGCTTGTATAGGAGATGGCTCCCAGTGGTAGCAAGAATATAGCTTTGATGTGTATCTATGAAAAGCTGTATTAAAAAAATGGCAATAACGTTCTACTGAAGTGTTTCCTTTTCTTTGTAATTTTTCAGTATTGTTTCTGAAATAGGGTGTGTTGGCTGTATCTGTGCAACAGTTGGGTATGGAAATGCATGTCAGCACAATCCTCTCCATATGCACTTCCCTTCCAACAGCATAACTGCCTTTGAACAGTCTGAGTGTGCTTGGCAGCACACTGAGCTACTGTGTACTGTAGGCACGCAGGACCTCATGTTAAGAGCTTTAGGACGTACTTGAAGGCTCTGTGTCTTGTGGAGAAAGAGTCTGTTCTTTGAGCGTTAGCCTTAGGGAAGCCTTCAAAATGTATGTTCAGACAATAAGGTGGTATTAATTTGTGCATTATAAATTGATTAGACAGTTAAAGTGGCTGGTAGAGTACTGCAATTTGTATCAGTTTGTTTTTAGGAATGTAAGGAGGATTTAACTTTTCTGAGAAAATAGACATGGAATGTCATGGGAAAGATGGTTGGTTTGAGAAATAAGAAATGTGAGATGCCAAATAAGCCACAAAAACATTTGGCCTACCAGTTGTCAGGCAGGTGATGGGAAGGCATTACTGTTATGAGGAAGAAGATACAAGTCTAACATTGTGTCTTGGGTTTGCATGGCAAGGTTTCGGTAGTGGGGGGAGGCTACAGGGGTGGCTTCTGTGAGAAGCTGCTAGAAGCTTCCCCTATGTCCGATACCAATGCCAGCTCCAAGATGGACCTGCCACCGGCCAAGGCTGAGCCAATCAGTGACAGTGGCTGTGCCTTTGTGATAACATATTTAAGAAGGGGGGGGGGGGGAACAACCCACAAGGACACAAACTGCAGCTGGAGTGAGGAGTGAGAATATGTGAGAGGAATGACTCTGTAGACACCAAGGTCAGTGAAAAAGTAGGGGGAGGACGTGCTGCAGGCACCGGAGCAGAGATTCCCCTGCAGTCTGTGGTGAAGACGATGGTGAGGCAGGCTGTCCCCCTGCAGCCCAGGGAGGTCCACAGTGGAGCAGATATCCACCCACAGCCTGGGGAGTACCTCACGCTGGAGCAGGCGGATGTGCCCGAAGGAGGCTGTGACCCCATGGGAGGGCCGTGCTGCAGCAGGCTCCTGGCAGGACCTGTGGATCCGTGGAGAGAGAGGAGCCCACGCTGGAGCAGGTTTGCTGGCAGGACTTGTGACCCTGTTGGGGACCCATGCTGGAGCAGTCTGCTCCTGAAGGGCTGCACCCCGTGGAAGGGACCCATGTTGGAACAGTTCGTGAAGATCTGTAGCCCGTGGGAAGGACCTATGTTGGAGAAGTTCGTGGAGGACTGTCTCCCATGGGAGGGACCCCATGCTGGAGCAGGGGAACAGTGTCAGGAGTCCTCCCCTGAGAAGGAAGGAGCAGCAGAGACAACGCGCGATGAACTGACCGAAACCCCTATTCCCCGTCCCTCTGCGCTGCTCAGGGGGAGGAGGTAGAGAAAATTGGGATTGAAGTTGATCCCAGGAAGAAGGGAGGGGTGGAGGGAAGGTGTTTTAAGATTTGGTTTTATTTCTCTTTACCCTGCTCAGTTTTGATTGGTAATAAATTAAACTGATTTTCCCCAAGTCAAGGCTGTTTTGCCCATGATGGTAATTGCTGAGTGATCTCCCTGTCCTTATCTTGACCCACGAGCTTTTTCATTATACTTTCTCGCCCCTGTCCAGTTGAGAAGGGGAGTGATAGAGAGGCTTTGGTGGGCACGTGGCATCCAGCCAGTGTCAAAGCACCACACATTGATAGTCATACAGTGTATGTAATGCCCCCCTAACAAATCAGTCAGTGTGAGCTTGTCTCTGCTGCTTACATGCTCTGTCTTTGTCAGAAACCGAACCAGAGAGCACTGCAGCGAAGTAGCTAGGGGAAATATTAAAGAGTAGGGAAGAAACTGAGTATTGTAGTACTGGTGAGGTAGGGACACAAGAGAACTGTAGGAAAGGAGCAGGCAAATGCCCAATGTAAGTCCTTGTACGAACTTCTTTCATGACCTGTGTTGAGTAGCCTCTGGTATTTGTAGCTCTTCCCTTGCCCCCACCATCTTAATACTTTTAATCCCAAGGTCACTGCAGTGGCAAGACAACTGTAGAATTAGCAGTGCTTTGGATCTTGTCCTTGATGTGCAAGCCATAGTCAAGTATTTAGGAACAGACTGCTAATGAATTTAAAAACAAAAACCAAAAAACCTAGCAAAATAAAAAATCAACCCCAAAACCACACCACCCACCAAAAAAAAAAACCCCAAACCCCAAATCCCCGGAGTGACCAAACATTGCTGCCAAATTACTCTGTAACTAACAGACCAGTAAAAATTCTGTGGAGGTGACGGTCAATATGCAGTTACTCAAATGATCTGAAAGCTCTGTTGTAGTCTGAGTAGCGTGCCAAGGTAGGGTAACTGGAGCTACACTGGTGTAAAAATGAGGAGGAAGTGGGACCCAGTGTCCAGATTAACAGTGATGGAGGTAGGGAATAAGGTAGGCAATGAAGGGTAGGGAATAAGGAGGAGGATATGTCTTAGAAGACAGAGCACTGGTAGTTCTGTAAAGTATTTTTGAATCAGGGTCTCATTGTAAGGTTTTGAATCTGTGGCTATCTGTGGGATGACTGTAGCTTACATCATGTCAGGCTCTAGGCTGTATTTTACTCTTTTTACAGTATTTTTTTTACCAGGTTCACCCCAACAAGACATATCTGCAGACAGATTTGCAGTATGAATAGATCACAGCAAGAATTTATCTGTCTTGTTTACTCTGCAGAGTTGCAGTACATGCAAGTAATCAACCTTGAGTAGTTGTGTAGGCCTTTTTAGCAGAGGTCAACAAGGTGCTGTGCATAAAGACTCAGATATCATTCAGGGTTGAAATTAATTATATCAAATATCTGTTTATGTTCTACATACTATTGGGTGATTTTAAAAATATCTGTTGCTTTCTTTTAGTACTATCTAAAAATAAAATCAAAGTAGTTAAAGAACTTATCCTTGCTGCACTTGATAACTGGGGTGTCTTGTCACCCCCCATGCTATGATACAGATGATGGGAAGAAAATAATGCTTGCCCTTTCTCTTCTTTCTGATGAGACTGAGTGCTGCAGAGTTCTTCATTTACTGTACTAGTGAATTTCTTTCTTGCTGTTTTGAGTTGTTCAGATACGAACTTAGCTTAGTTTAGCATAAATTCAGGAAATACAGTATGTGGGATCTAGCTGTCATTTATTATTGTTGTGTAATGATGACACAGAGTTTTAACTTGTTGGGATTGTCTTTAATTGTTTGGATTGGACCAGGCTTTTCCTGTATAAGAGTCCTGCTCTTATTGTTAGAGTTTGTTCCAGCTCTTCTCTTTCTCTAGATGTTCCAGCTTGTCAGTTTTTTGGAGCTCAAGACAGTTTCATCTCTTCTTGATACTTTTACCTGGGGGCTGTAATTATTCCATGGATTTCAATAAGGATTTCTTTTGCTACAAATGCAATTGGCATGGCCCATACATGTATCTGTTCCAAGGCATATTTGTAGCCTGTGAGGTTCCACAGAAGACTGTACTGATCTAATTCATCTAATTTATCTTGTCAAAGATGATTTGCAGTGCACTGGGGGCAGATTCATTTCCAGCCAACGCTGACTTTTATATTCACTGATCTTTAAGGAATTCCCTCTCAGTTGTCTCAGAATAAACAAGATCTTATTTTGACTATAAGACAGGTCCTCTTTCTTATAGACCAACCAGCTTAGAGCACTTTAATTTGTTGATAAATCTCAGAAAGATTTCTATAACAAATCACTTGAATCACAATTATGGCATTTTTATGAAGAGGTTTTGATCAAAGGAAAGATAGAAAAAAGGAGTGGAACATTCTTTCCCCCCAACCCCAATTAGGTAGTATCCATCTCTAAGACGTTTATGATTAACATGATACAATGGAGGTTTCTGACAACACTGCTAGTTTACTAAATGTGTTTCATCGTCTATAAACTTCACATTATCAAATGTTCTGTGGCATCTAATGTTGATTCCATTTTCTCACTGGAAAACTCATTCTCATTTTGGATTGATAATTTACTAATTTTTATTTCAAAAGAATTGTAGATCATATTTTCTCTACTTGCAAACAAGAGAAATACCCAAGCATTCCTTACTTTAGGTCTTAATTCCAGCTTTGTGTTGTATAGACTTCTCCCCCCGCCTCAGCAGTGCCGTATCTTGAGTTATGATTACTCCCTAGCCTTTGCTGTTTGGGGGTTTTCTTTTTAGCTTCGTTTATAGAGGGGGACTTTTTTGAAGCATGCTGATATATTTTATTGGAGATACATGCATATTCATGAATCTCTCCGATCATAATGTGTGCATAATTC